ATCAACTCTTTTGCAGAGTCTTGTGCTAAGCCCCCTCTCATTAGTGGATGTTTATGTAAGTATTCAATAACGGTCAGTTAGGATAAATGTGGTTGCATAATACTGACAAAGGTAGTATTCAATATATATGTCATTATGCCTAGATAGAATTATGCCTATTATTTCTTCTGGGTTAATATTCCTTTGAGAAAAGATATTAATATACACAACAACGGCACTTCTGTTTCCTACAGGTGAGGTGAGACTGACACCACAAGTCTACCTTTGCATAGTTTTTTGCTTATTAATATTTTAATCTACCAAGTGATGCTATAACTCTGGGTGATGGCCTGGTTCCCCGGGACTGCTGTGGGGGGTGACTTCTTTGATGTAACAAAAGATACTTAAATGAGTCTAGGCACTGTATGGAAAGTTGTCCTAAAACAAGTCACGTAGACGTCTACTTTATAATTCCTGCACTTGGGAAACAGGCTGAGGCCTTGCTGCCAGCAGCCATCTGGGGTGGGGTGGAGCTGTGGGAAGCCACGCCTACTAATGGGAACAAGATAACCCATCCAGAGAGTCATCTATTCCTCTCAAGAATGGATGTTTTGTAACTAAGTGTGTGTGTGTGTGTGTTAAAACTATATAAGCTATGAAAGATTTTAGTGGAGGCCAGAGTTTCGATTTTGAACGGGATCAGTCTATACCTGCTGGTATAAATCACCCCCAGCTGAAGGAACTGGACCCACAGTGTTCTCAGACACCTATTGTTGGGGGTAGACTCGGGCTGACAGTGATATAAACACCACAGAAAAGGCTCTCGGGAGTAAAGAGAAAGCAGGAAAAGATCCTGGCCCCCACCAGCCAGAGGGTTCTCTGAGTTCTGTCTTCAAAGGCAAAGCTGGGTTTCTAGAAGCCACAGGCCTCTCCCACCCCTGACTACACTGAGAAATGCTCGCCCGCATCCTCAGTCTTGTCCGTCTTGTGTCACCTGCACACACAGCCCCTAGCCGGGCACTCGGGGCTCTTGGAAATCTTGATTCGGCAGGCGCTCTGCTTAAGCGTGGCAGACAGGTCCCTTTGCTCCTTACTGGTGACCTCTTGCCCAGGTCATCCCCTGCTTCCAAAGGGATTTAAAATAAGCCATGGGGGAAAGGACCGTTACAAATTCACACTTCATTCCCTTTATTTGCACCTTCTTTCTTCTTGTCTCTCATCTTTCCCTGCATTCTTGCCCTCTGGCTTTCCCTCTCTCCTTCCATGCACTGTCAGGTAGGTGAAGCTTCCAGACTACTAGGGGAACACCTGTTTCCTTAGTTGTCCCATGGTGACCCCTAAAGCCATCTCTTCTCAAGGGCAGCTGATCTCTGAGGTCTATGTGACACAGTCTACAGGGAGTGGACCAGCTATGGACTTGTAAGGAAAAAGGATCCCGCCATCTGCTTCCAGATTTCTCCAGTATTGAAAAGCAGTGGGGCCAGTGAGGATTTGTTTCTTGCCGTGAAAAGAATCCCCTATATCCTAAGAGATCAGCTCAGCAATGAAGGGGTTACTCTCCTTGGTGTGGGGGTTGGGGGTGTAGAAAGTTGCAGGACGCTCTTCTCAGCTTGTCTGATGGCGATGCGACCTGGCACCACTGAAAAGCTTTAAGATTAATGGAGAAAAGGCGAAATCTGACAGCTTTTCCACTGGTTTCAGTCCTCCTGGGTGGGCCGATTGGTCTTGAATGTCACCAGCTACTTAATCTTGTATATCTGAAACAGACTGGCATGTTTGGGGAGCCCTATTTGCTCTGTATAGACATCAATTGGAGAGGCGGATAAAAGGAAATTGCATTGAATTTCTCCTTTAAGCCCTTCACCAGGCACTTTCTGACTGCAAAATAATTAGGGACCCCAGCAAACACACCGTCCCGTGGTGGATGCTCCTGCCACACCCCTGGTGCAACTCTGACTTCCCTGGACAAGCTGCTCCTGCTCTGTTCTGTGCAGACTCATGCTGCCTATACATTCTTCCTGCTCTCCCACTTTTTTTTTTAACTACATGGGCTTGCTTACTGTTATAAACCATGGGTGCCTCCATGATCTGATGACCAAGCAAATGGATGTCCAGAGAAACAGATCGACAAGCACAAATGTGGACGGGGAAATGGAAGGACAAAAAAAAAATCCCTAAATGTACCCATTTACCTGCATATATGTCCCAAACAAATAGGGTTGAGCTATTTTTTAATAACCAAAACATCTATCCAGGAATGGAAATTTAAAAATCAAATGATGCTTTCTATATCCTGTTTTGTCAAACTAAGCACATAAAAGAAGCCATTCAGGTTAAGTGTCAAGCATTAAAAGAGAAAGAATAAATACAACAGTGTTTACATAGGAGGTTACAATAGATCGGCTCCTTATATTTAAAAGATAGGAATGTTTGGTGATTCCTGTGTGAAATAACTCCGTCTAGTCTGGTTTGGTCTGGTGTGAGAAGTCTCTGATGCGTTTTACACACACACAGTGGTTTATGAAGAACCTGCCATAAACCTAAACGATAGCACCAATTAGAAATGAGCTTCCATTGATGTATTTCAGATCATTTGCCCTTACCCTTTTCTCATGTTCTGATTCTTTAAACCCATGAACATGATTGAGTGTATCATCAGGTGATGAATAGCCAGAGATGACTGAAGCCAATCGACTATATATTAATCGTCCTTAGCCAGGCATCTAGGAAACCGTAAAACTCTCTGTACTTTTAAACACAAGAGAAAGCCACATCCTCCCATGTCTGAAATTTGCCACATTACAAGCACACACAGGTCTATGCAGAGCATCTTCCTGCAATGTGCTTTTGGCTATGATGAAAAGTTTAAGGCAGAACATTTTCCAATAAACATACATAAAACTCATCATAAACCAGACTAATTTTTCTGTCTACCAGAGGATGATGGAAGACATAAACTGAGTCTAACACCACAGCAAGGTATCACAGATCTCCGTTATGCCTTTGAAATAGCACTAGATATCTGGCTGTTTTCAAATTGCCAGCTTCTTCTCTGTGGTCAGGGATGTCTGCTTAAAAGAAGATACAGGAAGTTACTGATGGGCCCTAAAATGGAAAATGAAGTGAAAAATTCATCTTCAGTATACCAAAGCAACCTCATTTCAATTATCTTTGCAAATACCAGGTTATACTTTATTTTGTGACTTTCTTTCTCTTTTAAAGACACAGCCTCACACTGTTGAGACTGCCGTTGCAAAATTATAACTAAGGCAGTGAAAGAGGTCTGAACTAACCAACTCCCTCTTGCTTCTAACCTCCACGCTGTCCTTGTTCATTCCTGGGTGTAGGCCGAACTAACTCTGGGAGGAACTTAGTTTATGGTTTTGCTTTGAAACAAAGATGATAACAGCCCTTTCCCAAAACAAACCCCCTTTCTGTCTGGGGACTAGACTGCCTTTGCAGGACTAACAAATTAGCTGAAAGATTAGAAATTATGATTTAGGAGTCATGCAGCTGGAGGCTGCAAGATTCTGAACCTCCCCAAATTGCTCATGGGGATAACATTACTATTGTAAAACGTAAGATCAGTGCTTGAGATATTTTGCAGACCCTGCACTTGATGGATCAACTGGTACCACACAGGTCGATACACTGGCTCATCTGGTCTTGTGACCCTGATCCAGGAACTGACTCAGCTCAAGAGGACGGCTTCAGCTCCCTGTGAGTTCATCTCAGACCTGATCAATCAGAACTCCCGATTCACTGACTCCCATCCACCAAATTACCCTTAAAAACTCTAGTCCACAAGTTCTCAGTAAGACTGATTTAAGTAATAATAAAACTCCAGTCTCCCGCACAGCTGGCGCTGCGTGAATTATTCTTTCTCTATTGCAATTCCCTTGTTTTCATAAATCAGCTCTGTCTACGGAGAGGGCATGGAGAACCTCTGTTGGGCAGTTACATTGTGTCAAAGCCTAAGACTAGAGTTGACTGAAACGATGTTGAGGAGACTGAAGCCAGTCTGCATGGCAGAAGAGGAGATGCTATCTATTCCTCCCAGGTGTGGCTGTGCTCTCAGGGGACTAGGACGTAGCTGGCCAGACAGCATACTGAGTACAGATTTCATGAACAGGTAGGTACTGGGTACAGGTTTCATGAATATCAAGAAGTACAAGAGAAGGAAGGAAACTCATACAAATACAAGGAACTAAAATGGGAGAGACCACTAGACAGAAAGGGTCATTTTTTTCTGGGAATTGGCTGTGGACATTTTCAACCTTGTTTGAGATATCTGAAACAATGCCTCTCCTCTTCCAGGCTAAAAAAAAGCAAAGAAAAATGTGTGTAGCTATAAACAAAAAACAGGTGAGCACCAGAGAAGGAAACTTAAGTTCCACATCTAAAGTTATTGCTATAGCCTTTGAAACCCAAGTTGTCTTTAAGTCACTTTTGAACGTTAGGTGGAAGTCGCCACAAAGTCACCACATTCATGAAGAGCCAAGAGATCCAAACATTAAAAAAAAAAAAACACTGTAGTCAAGAAGACATTTATGCAGCCAACAAACGTATAAAAAAAATGCTCATCATCACTGGTCAAATCAAAACCACATTGAGATATCATCTTATGCCAGTTCAAATGGTGATCATTAAAAAGTCAGGAAACAACAGATCCTGGAAAGGATGTGAAGAAATAGGCAGGCTTTTACACTGTTGGTGGGAGTGTAAATTAGTTCAACCATTGTGGAAAACAATGTGGTGATTCCTCAAGGATCTAGGACTAGAAATATCATTTGACTCAGCAATGCCATTACTGGGTATATACCCAAAGGATTATAAATCATTCTATTATAAAGATACATGTACATGTATGTTTATTGCGGCACTATTCACAATAGCAAAAACTCGGAACCAACCCAAATGCCCATCAATGATAGATTGGATAAAGAAAATATGGCACATATACCCCATGGAATACTATGCAGCCATAAAGAAGGATGAGTTCATGTCCTTTGCAGGGAAATGGATGAAGCCAGAAACCATCATTCTCAGCAAACTAACACAAGAACAGAAAACCAAACACCTCATGTTCTCACTCATAAGTGGGAGTTGAACAATGAGAACACACGGACACAGGGAGGGAAACATCATAAACCAGGGCCTGTCGGGTGGTCAGGGGGAGGATAGCATAAGGAGAAATACCTAATGTAGATGATGAGTTGATGGGTGCAGCAAACCACCATAGCACGTATATACCTATATAACAAACCTGCACATTCTGCACATGTATCCCAGAACTTAAAATATAATAAAATAAGCAAACACTGAAGTCACTCTGTGGCTTTAATCACTGCCAGATTTTAGGAAGTTTCTCCACAGCCATGTTCTTGCCATTGTCATTTTATCTTTAATGGGCTCTACAGGTGGCAGATACAAATATAAATTAAATATGGAATTCCCAGGACCTTCTCAAGTGAATGAACCCAGGACTCTTTAGAAAGTTTGATGAATTTGAGACATAAAGGTGATAAGAGAACTGGAAAGAGATGAATTCAAAATGTGTTCTTGGTGGCATGCAAGGGTTCCAGTTCCCCATTGCAACCCAGCGGGCAGCTGAAAAGGCTCCTTACTAATTAGCCTACTTGGGTGCTTACGGTTTAGGATTCTGTGTTACCTAGAGACCCCCATTCAAAGATAAATAACTGAGAAGAGTACAATATACATTTACTAATCCAACAAATAATTTTTGGCATCTATTGAGTGTCAGATACTGTACTGGGGATACAGCAAGGATCACAACAAACATACCTCTTGCCCTCATGGATCTTAAGGTATATTGGGAGAGTCAGTTGTTTGACTAGGAACTCTACATCTGAAGAACATTAAAAAGGGAGTGGTATGGGATGCTGTGGGAGTTTAGGCTGAGGGGGTCAGAGGAGGGCTCCCGGGATAACCGAGTGACAATGCAGGAGATATTCCAGAAGGAACCAAAGATCTGGAGGTAGAGAAGAGTATAGGATGCACAAGAAACTGAAAGATGAAAATAGCTAGAACATGAAGAGGAGAGAATGTTGTGACACAAAGGAGACTGGAAGGGTAGACCAGACCACGTTACAAAGGCTCTCAAGGGTACTATTGAAAAGTCTGGCTCTAAGAGAATGAGAAGCACTGAAGAATCCACTTTAAAATGAAAGTGGTATCATCAGATTCATGTTTCAGAAAGACCCACTGTGACTGCTATATATCAGAGAGGATTCTGGGAAACAGGAAGGAAGTCTGCAGACATCTGAATGGAGACAATGGTAGATTGGAGGAAGGTCGTGGCAGCAAGATTGAAAAGAAGCAGTAATATCCTAACATCTGCAGACAAATTAAAAGTGAAGATGCCTCAGATCATACAGATGGGAGAGGCATCAAGAGAGCCATGCGAGGATCACATCCCACCCTGAGAAGGTGGGTCTTGGCATTTACACTCCTGACAGGTCTGACCGGAATGGGCAGTGGGAAGTGAGGAAGGTAGTTAGGAAGAAATGCACTGATGGTAACTGATCAACTTGATGATTTTTAATAGTTATGTTAGGAGGAATTTAGTTAGTAGAAAAGAATTCTGCAAAGGCTTCCTTTAAGAGAGTCTGGGCCAGGCATGGTGGCTCATGCCTGCAATCCCAGAACTTTGGGAGGCCAAGGCAGGTGGATCACCTGAAGTCAGAAGTTTGAGATCAGCCTGGCCAACATGGTTAAACCCCACCTCTACTAAAAATACAAAAATTAGCCAGCCATGGTGGCACGTTCCTGTAATCCTAGCTACTTGGGAGGCTGAGGCAGGAGAATTGCTTGAACCCAGGAGGCGGAGGTTACAGTGAACCAAGATCACGGCACCGAACTCCAGCCTGGTCAACAGAGCAAGACTCCATCTCAAAAACAAACAAACAAACAAACAAAGAGGAGTCTATATATATTTCAAAAACAACTTATGAATTTTAATTTACATGCACATTCAGAAAACTACCTATTACATAGCCCCATAGAACAGCTGTATATATGTATAAAAGTCAAAGCCCTATATATGACTGTATTTTATATATATAAAACATACATTCCACATACATATTTCATTTTATCTCTTAATACCAGTAGCTAGTAGGCTTCTTTCTACTATACTTCTCTACTTCTGAATCTACCAACTGTAGATTTACCAAAACTTCACTGTTTAGAGTCTGTGCCCTGGCCTTATTCCTGTAATAATGTAATTTATTTGAATATTATACAAGTGAAACATGAGAGCAAAATGGTAGTTGTTTCTATGAAAGTCAGTTTAGGGCCGGGCATGGTGGCTCACGCCTGTAATCCCAGCACTTTGGGAGGCCAAGGCAGAAGGATCACTTGAGCCCAGGAGCTTGAGACCAGCCTGGACAACATAGGAAGACCTCATCTCTACAAAAATTACAAATATTAATTAGCTGGACACAGTGGTGCATGCCTGTAGTCCCAGCTACTTGGGAAGCTGACGTGGGAGGATTACTTGAGTCCAGGAGGCTAAGGCTGTAGTAAGACATGATTATACCACTGCACTCCAGCTGAGGTGACAGAGCAAGACCCTGTCTCAAAAAAAAAAAAAGAAAAAAAAAAGATTAGAGGGAGGAAAAAAAACCTAGAAATACATTTTGTATTCATATTCTAGAGCAAATGCCTTTAAGTTTTGGTCTACTTTAATGAAAAAAAATTTTTTTAATTGTAGGTGATACAATATGGGTGTAGCTGATAATGTAAGAAAAATAGTTTAGAACCCTGATCAGAAAACCTGGATGAAATAAAGATCTTCATTTTAGATTGTAACCTATTGTGAATGTCAGAAATAGTAGAATATTCACACTTCCATATTCGTACATGAACCTAATATGTTTCAAGTAAAAATAAAATGTTAAGGATAATACATCTATTTTTCTTATATAATTATCCTTTTAAACCAATTTTGTCAATTATCTGATAGCCACCATACTAACTATTGGATAAGAAGTGTTCTTTGATGATACCAAGGGCCCAGATATAAAGAAGACACACATTCCAAGTATAGGCTGCTGGGTTACAAGGACAGTGTGGGAAACCACAGATCATCAGAACTCCAACTCATCCAGAAAAAAAGATTATTTTCTCAGCCACACCTGATAAGATTTCACCAGTAACTAGTGAAGAGGAATTGGAAACTCTTACCAGAACCTTTTGTATACCATTTATAGCCTATTCTACAAACATACTGTACGTGTTTATTACATAGTAAACTGCACACAGTTCTTATTTCATAGTGTGTTTAGTCATTCTCATTTAATCCTTTTGTATCTTCACAAAGTCTGTAAAGAATTTCTGCAGCTGTTGTTGGTGATGGTGGTGTGTACCCAGTGGCCCTGCTTGGTCTAGGTTCCCAGGCAAGCTGTCTCCTCACAGATACTGCTTTAGTGGGGCCTATTTTGGCCAGAGTTACACATACATAGGGAGTACAGCACATTAAAAAGAAGTGCCATTTAAAGTCTTGTCTGACTTTCAGAGATACTTATGTTCATACATTTATACTGAGTTCTGTGAATGAGCTTCCAGGGATCTAGGAGGCCTTGGAAACTGTTACATATGTATGTTTGCCCGGGGAGGAATGTTTGGCTTTCAGATTTTCAAAAGGCCTGTTAATCCCAGGAGAGGTCAAGAATCATTGGTATTATAAAAAGGAATGAAGTTCTCATACATGCTACAACATGGATGAACCTTGAAAACATTATGCTAAGTGAAAGAAGCCACAAAAGACCACATACTATATGTCTTTATCCATATACAAGTCCAGAATAAAGAAATCTATAGAGTCAGAAAGTAGATTATTGGTTGCTTAGGGCTAGGTTGAGAGTGGGGAAATAAGAGAGGGGATGATAGCTAAAAGATACAGGGTGTTAGTCTGTCTGAGACGGAGTCTCAGCCTCTCAACCAGGCTGGAGTGCAGTGGCACAATCTTGGCTCACTGCTTACTCCACTTCCCAGGTTCGAGTGATTCTTCTGTTTCAGCCTCTCGAGTAGCTGGGACTAGAGGCGCTCGCCACCATGCCCGGCTAATTTTTGTATTTTCAGTACACGATGTTTCACCATGTTGGTCAGGCTTGTCTTGAACTCCTGACCTCATGATCCACCTGACTTGGCCTCCCAAAGTGCTGGAATTACAGGTGCAAGCCACCATGCCCAGAGGGTACAGGGATTTTGATGTGAGAAATATGTCCTAAAATTGACTGTGGTGAGTTCTGTACGTATCTATGGATATGTTAAAAGCCATAGACTCGTACACTTTAAGTAGCTAAATTCTATGTTATATTAATTATATCTCCATAAAGTTGTCTTTAAAAAAATAATTGGCATAGACTTATCATCTGCCAATCTTGTTCATATTCTTTATTTCATGAGGTATTATGAAATAAGTAAACGAACATCCAAAAGTCACGAGTAAGTGACTCAGTCTTCTGATGCCAAGTCCATTTCCCACCACGCTTCTGCTGGTACCTAGTATCAGGACAAGGCAAAAAGAGTGTGGACTTGGGAGCCTGGACCACTTGATAATCACTTGTACAGGCTGTTTAATCTTACTGTCTTGTTCTTACTTTTCTGTTCTAAAACATAATGTTACCCAACTAAGAGCACAATTGTGAGAGACTCTATGTAAAGTACCTAACATCATACCTAGCATACGGTAGATAATAGCAAATGGTAGCGTATGTTTATCATCGTGTATTAGCACTGATTTGGTTTTCAGTGATAGAAACTCAATCTAGGTAAAGCAAAGAAGAAAATGTATTAATTTATATCACTAGGAAGGGCATATAGCTTCAGGAGCAGCAATAGCCAGAGATTCAAGTGACCTCTCAGGACCCTAGGTCCCTCTTTATCTCCTGGCTTTGTCCTCAGGCAGAAACACATGGAGACAAAGTTGTCAAAGCTTCAGGCTCACATTCCACAAGCTTAGTGGCTTAGGTGGAAGAACTAACCTCTTTCTAGATAGTGCCAAAAGTCCTGGAAGACTCTTACTGGCCTAAGATGCTGTATCCATCTCTGAGCCAATCTCCATGGCCAGGGGAAGGAATTATAATTAATCAGGCCTGAACCATGTTCCCTATCTGTGGAAGGAGGGTGTGTTTGTCCGTTTTCATACTGCTGATAAAGATATACCCAAGACTGGGTAATTTATAAAGAAAAAGAGGTTTAATAGACTCAGAGTTCCACATGGCTGGGGAGGCCTCACAATCATGGTAGAAGGCAAAAAGCATGTCTTACATGGCAGCAGATGAGAGAGAATGAGAGCCTAGTGAAAGGGGAAACCCCTTATAAAACCATCATATCTTGTGAGACTGATATTCACTACCAGGAGAATAGCATGGGGGAAACTGCACCTATGATTCAATTCTGTCCCACCAGGTCCCTCCCACAACACATGGGAATTATGGGAACTACAATTCAAGATGAGATTTGGGTGGGGACACAGCCAAACCATATCAGAGGATAATTCAATCCCTCCATGCGCCCCAACCCCAAACCAATACATGTGCTACATATCTACAGGCATTTACCCTCTTTCCAGGTTGAGATAATCTTTTTGCGTCACCGTTCAACTCTGCATTTACCGGTCACCCACTCTGTGGGAAACACTTTCCATGTTGTGTGTGTGTGTGTATGCACATGAACCCTTGATTACATGGGGAGCCTGCCAGATGCCAAGATGAATGAGAATCTCACATACCAATTGTTTACACATTTCATAACAGTAATCCCTTCCTGGTGGCTTCAACCAGTTGCTGAAGTGTGGAGGAGACAACCTTTGTAAGAAATGTGGATAAAATTACATGTCATGAGTAATTTTACTTATTAAATATTTTCTCAGTTGTGAGTTTAGAAAAGACAATAAGAAAACACAAATGAGTGTTTTGGGAAGCCACTGCAATATTAGGCAGTCACTGATGGGAAGAGGCCAGTAGTGGGTTTACTGGCCATCCACTTTCATAAATGATCAAATGTGCAAATGGCCAAATCCTGCAGAATGAAGGCTGGTCTAGCTGAGGGTCAGCCCACCTAGGAAGCTGACATGGGTGTAAATCAGATGTATGCCATTGCTCATTCTTCAGGCCATTTATTTATTTAATTATTTTGGATGCTTGGGTTTAATTTGTGGGTGCCTCTTCCTTTTCCAAAAGCAGAGTTTAGAACATAGAGGAAACTGAACGCTCCAGGATGCACTGCTGGGTTGCGGCCTCCCTGTGCCATTTCTCGTCTTTATGTATTTTCATGGGTGATTCTCATTATGTTCAAGACATGTTACAGTCATGTGTCTCCCTCACCTCAGAAACAGCTCAGACTCGGTCGTTTAGCGTCACTAGTGAGAAATTTCTTTGTAGATCTCCCATGGTCAAAAAACTGTCATAGAAAACTATAGTGCAGTGGTTTAGAGGACAGGTTTTGAATTCCAATCTGGCTTTGAATCCTTACTTTCCTTTATTTTTTCTTTTATCACCAGGTCATATGAAATCACTTATTATGTTTATTTTTTATATCTGCCTTCCTCAGTTAGAATATAAGCTCCAGGAGGGCAGGCATCACTGTCCCTTTTATTCACTGATATAGTTCACACACCTAGAATAGTGTCAGGTACTTTGAAGGCACTCAATAAATATCTATTGAATGTGTGAATCATGTAATTAACCATGTTAATATACTATTTAACATGGTTTGTTTTCACCCTTAGGGTTTAATCCTGAGTGCTGAATTATGGGATTGACAGAGAGTGGTGCTCAATATCAGCATCTGAATGTTCTCTTTTCTTTCCATCTTCTCCCTACTCCATCTGCCCAGAGAACGGTTTTATCTTTCTGTATGAACTATACACCCATACTTGGTTCGGCATGCATTCTTTCCAACTTTAAGTTTAATGTATAAACTCTATGTGGTAAATTCTCTACCTTTGCTCATGATATAAAAAAGCTAGATTTTGGAATCCCAGAAGAAATTCTCTCTCATCAAAGCCTGCCTAATAACAACAAATCAAAAGCACTTTGACTTTGAGATTACTATCACTCTTGTGAACTTAAAAACTGTTTTGAAAATCAGAGCTGAGCAATGACTTCTTTGTCTTAGAATATATCTTTTCTCTCCCTGAAATAGGACAGATAAAAAGCTACCAGTGCTGCTCAGAAAATAGTGACTTCTGAGCATCTCAGCATAGTTCCCTGCTACATCCACTTTCATAAATGATCAACATCCTTTTTGTTAGGCTCTTCTTTGCCTTGAAGCACCTATATGTGATTACCAAGCGGGGGATTCTTTTCTCATCTTTAAGGTGCCTTTATGAGCCTTTGCTTGATTCACGATATACTTATTCTCCTTTCCAGCTGTAGAAGGGCAATCTTCAACTGGAGGCTTATAAACCAACTCGCCTGGTGAGAAGTGCCACTGTTTTCATGCTCAGATCCCACTATCTAAATTCTGTTTCCTACCTGGTCTTGCCTTAGCTGATATTCATCAACAAAGGTTTGCCTGGGAAGGACAGTTTACTCTTATGCCATCTGCAACTAATGAAGGACCCTATAAGTTTACATGGAGGAGGCATATTGACTTAAGAGTACACATAGAGTGCCTGAAACCACCAATTTCCTTTCCAGTAGTGATAAAAGATCTTAAACACAGTGAGAAATTTAAAGGAAATTTATCACAAAACAAGAGAGAAAAATATTTCTCCCCAAAGAAAGCATCTATGTGCGAGTAAAGCCACCAATGACAGTCCAGGGCTGAGGGCACCTCAGTGGCCCCTGGAGTCGGGGATGGAGGGAGGGGTAGCCTCTCTCTCAGCCCTCCATGTACCTCCCCATACCTACAGCGTGGAGGGCTGGGAAGACAGATATGCCAGAACCCTGGCCATGGCAGCCACCAGACAGAGGAGGCAATCCTAAATAGGCTGTGACTTTAGAAGACTGGGAGAAATCCCTTAGTTCTCAGGGCTTAAATCCACCTCAAAACATTCCTAAATTCCAGAAAATGGATTTCAAATTTGGCAATGTGCACCTTGCAGACTTCAGGGAAAGAGACAGCTCACCGGAAGACTTGATTGTCTGATCCCTATGGAAAAATGGATGCATCAGAGATCTATGGACTATTTGCCATTTAAAGTATTCAATCAGCTACCCTCAGTTTGAATCTTTGTACACTTGGCACTCTCCTGAGGAGAGTTGGCTTCCTCTTCTTTATTTTTTTGGCTGTATGTAACAGACTTCACCAAAATTGGCTTTAAAAATAAAGAGTATCACTTTCTCAAAGGAGGAGCAGTCTAAGGTATGTTAGGTCTAGGGCTGGTAAATTTAGGGGCTCAACAACATCATCGAGGACCAGATTCTTCTCATAATTCTGCCCTGCAATACTTAGGGTGTTGGCTTTGGTATTCTAGCTTGTCTCCCTACGGTCAAAAAACAGTAGCAACAACCTTAACCACAGCATCCTCACACAACAAAATGTGAAGTCCATAGTGAGACTGACATTTCTTTGTCAACAAGAAAACTTTCCCAGGCCTCCCCCAACCCTTTTCAAAAACCTTAGCTTTGTGCCTTATTAGTCACAATTGTTCCCAACTCCTTTTCTAAGCCAATTGTCAGCAAGGAGAATACAGTTGCCATGATCAACTTGGACTAATCAAGACTAATCCCTTTTTGGTCCTGAATATGGGCCCAGCTTTCCTAAAACACAGTCACATGTGAATGTATCAGAAATCTACTAACAACAACAAAAAAAAAAACCTGGGGAAATGGTTGTTGCATACGCAATGCAACCAAAGGTATCTTTGGAACATTTCCTGCAAGGAAAGACACATAGAGAGTTCAACTGTCTGGTCACTATAGCTATTTGCCTCCTTATTTGAAAAATAGTATTCCAAGGCCAGGCACAGTGGCTCATGCCTGTAATCCCAGCACTTTGGGAGGCCGAGGCGGGGGGAACACTTGAGGTCATGAGTTTGAGACCAGCCTAGCCAATATGGTGAAACCAATCCCTCTCTACTAAAAATACAAAAATTTGCCAGTGGTGGCGGCCACCTGTAATCCCAGTTACTTGGGATGCTAAAGCAGGAGAATCACTTGAACCCAGGAGGCAGGGGTTGCAGTGAGCTCTCGTATCACTGCACTCCGGCGTGGGCAATGGAGTGAGACTATGTCTCAAAAAAAAAAAAAAAAAAGTATTCCTCTTTAAACATTTGTCTTCCTCTTCAGAAATAACAACAAAAAAAAAGCTCCAAGAAGAAAGAGGTGACCTATTAAACTTCAAAGTGATGATGACTTAGGCCTGATTTCTTATGGCATGCATGGACAGATGCCTGGCAATCCCAAGGGCTGTGTGGGGTGACCAGGAGTAATGGAAAACAATCTTACCTAGTTAAAGGTTCGGCAAATGTCCACTGAGGGATCTTGATGTGCCAGGCACTGTGCCAAGCAGCATACCAAGGAGACAGGGGATAGTCTGCTCCTAGGAATCTAGAGCCAGCCTTGTGACTTTGCCTGGGGATACTCTTCGTTATGAGACCTAGATCCAACCAGTCTGGGAGTCCAAGTCTGTCCAGATGGTTTGGGCTTCTGGCTGCCCAATCAGCATGGCTAGCTTGCCACCAGCAGAGAGACAGAAGGTAGTCTCTTAGCTGTCCTCCTTATTTGACCAGTGCCCAGAGGGTACATACATCTTGTTTCAAACCCTGGGTCTGCGGTTCTTATCAGCAGAGAAGGCCAGCAGTGTCTGCCTTGTTCTACGCTGTGAGTTGGGTTCAAGTCTCTGCTCTCCAGAAAAGCACAATAGCATTTCTTCAGAACAATATCTATATAAGAAAGCCCTAAAGGAAGGCAAGAAACAAGCTTGGTAAGGGGCTGAAAAGGAGAGGGAGCGTTCTAGGAGGGAATGAACAATACTGTGTATAAGAAAGCACACGGTCAGAAGTGGAACATGCAATAAAAGGTGTTGCACCAATTTTCCTTGTAAGGCAATGGTAACATTAAAAAAATGAATTCAAACAATCTCAGCATCTCAAACCCTGTAAGAAGCAATGTGCAGACACCATGACCCCTTATTTAGTAGACATTTTGGGGCTTTGTGGGTACCTTAGATAAAGCAGACAGGGTAGAATTTTGTTATTGTCACTATGGTTAAAAGTAATTTGAACAAACTAGAAATACTAAAGGGAAAAATAAAGTGAATTCCTGGAAAAAACAACCCCATCTATTATTAATGCCCAGTGGGAAAATCATTTAAGTAATTTACTGCTGCCTGTATGGATGCAGACATTAACTCATGCAATGATGATTAATAGCACTGTTCAGAGAAATTTACCTCTACACATGCAAAGAATGGAAATTTACTGAGGCTTCTAGTCAGTCACAAACCACTCTTGCTCTTCATATTCTTTCTCGATTAAAAAAATGAACTGAACAAAGATTATATCATACAAACCTATAATTACATTCATTCTTAAGGGGCCTGTGATTGCCCTTTCTATCTGGCTAAAGTGCTTATATAATTAAAAAGTTACTACCTATCATAAAAATGTGTTTTAACTGAGATACTATGAAATGAGACCTCCAACCAAGAAAAAGTTCAAAGGCTGAAGATGACCACTTCTATTCTAAATTAAAGATCAAAATCAGAGAGGGTAAAAATTTGGAATGAAACACCCAACAATTCCATTTAAGGTGAAGAAGACAAGATAAAAAATTCCTTGATATATTCCAACTTTCCTGGGTTTACAACCTTAACCAAATACCAATCACAGGAGCTACCATCCCCACCACACAGGACTGTGAAGCTTGGTGATGACCATCATGGTATCAGGGTCTTTGCTTCTGAAAACAGCAAAATTTGTCAAGATCTCTAAGGTCCAGGATAGTTAATGTAAAAATGATATAAGATGTAAATACATTGTAGCAATATGGCTCAAAAATAGGATGTTGGCTGTGATACTCAGATGAGAGGCCAAGATATTTAAGATTCAGGAATGGGCAGGACATAGTGGCCTGTCATCCCAGCACTTTGGGAAGCCAAGGTGGGTGAACAACTTGAGCCCAGGAGTTCGAGACCAGCCTGAGCAACATGGAGAGACACCATCTCTACAAAAAATACAAAAACTTGCAGGGCATGGTAGTGTGTGCCTACCATATGCCAAGTGCCTAGTCCCAGCTACTTGGTAGGCTTAGGTGAAAGTATCGCCTGAGCTCAGGGAGGTCAAGGCTACAATGAGCCATGATCACGCCACTGCACTCTAGCCTAGGCCAGAGTGTGACCTTGTTTCAAAAAAATAAAGATTCATAGATGCAGGATGCTCATATAAAAAATGGTGTGAGCTCCACTTGGTCAGTCGTGTTCACTGTTGTGTCTTTAGTATCTAGAGCTGTGCCTGGCATATGGTAGGTGCAAGACAATCGGCTGCTGAGGGATGAATGGATGCTGAATGCTGACTCATTGACTAGCCCAGCCATCCCTGCATCTTGTCTCTCTGCTGTCTTTTTCTTTGCAGGGTGCTTCCCTCCAACTTTCGTTTCACACAGGGCCGTGTGGTACCTCACCTTTCCCATGTCTCTCCTTCCTATTTACTTTTGTCTAGCCAATTTATGGGGTTGCTCAGCAAATGTTTTGACTCCAACTGGGAAAACAAGCTCTTAGTGCCATCATTGTCACCTGGCCCAGACTCCCAAAACAAGCCTGGTGTTGAAGGAAATGTCAACTGGAAAGGTTTGGTCTGCCCCTGTGGTAGATTACACAGGGCTTAAAAAACACTTAACACATCTGGATATTGAATCTCAGTTTCTTCATTGCCTTTCCAGAGAAACCCCTCCTGAGCGCCTCCTCAGAGCCACTTCCACCTGCAGTGGCTCTAGAATTCTGTGAGACAGCAGCTATTATCTAAAACAAAACAAAAGTGGAAATTTTAAATGATGCTTAAACTGGAGTCACTCTCCTGAAAGTGGAGGATGAGAAAACTAGACTCAATTTCTTTATCTGTAATATGAAAAAGTTGGTTTGGATTCGTGGTATTCCATGGGTATAATCTGTCCTACAGTCTGTTGTAATTTGCCCATTGTATTAGGGTTCTCCAGAGAAACAGAATCAATCAGATATAGACACAGATATGACAATATCTATAGAGATATAAGAGAAAATTATTATGGGAATTGGCCCATGCAATTATGGAGGTGGAGAAGTCCCACCCTATGCCATGTGCAGGCTGGACAACCAGGGAAGCTGGTAGTATAATTCAGTCTGAATCCAAAGGTCTGCAAACGAAGAAAGCTGATGGTATAACTTTCAGGCCAAGACTGAAGGCCTGAGATCCTAGGAGGTCACTGGTATAAGTACCCGAGTTTGAAGGCCCAAGAACCTGAAGTTCTGATGTCCAAGGACTACAGAAGATGGATGGCCCACCTCCAGCAGAGAGCATGAATTCACCTTTTCTCTGCCTTTCTGTTCTATCCTGGCCCTCGAAGAATTGAATGGTGCCCACCCACATGGAGTGAGGTTAGCTCTTCCTTATTCAGTCCACTCATTCAAATGCCAGTCTCCTCCAGAAATACCCTCACAAACACACCCTAAAATAATGTTTTACCAGTGACCTGGTTGGTATATTAGTCTATTCTTGCACTGCTATAAAGAAGTACCTGAAACTGGGTAATTTATAAAGAAGAGAGGTTTAATTGACACAGCTCTGCATGCGGTACAGAAAGCATGGCTGGAGGTCTCACAAAACTTTCAGTCATGGCAAAAGGCAAAGCAAACACGTCTTACGCTGCCAGAGCAGGAGTAAGAGAGAGAAGGGAAAGGTGCTACACACTTTAAAACAACCAGATCTCGTGAAAACAAACTCACTCTAATGAGAACAGCAAGGGGGAAGTCCACCCCATGATCCAATCACCTCCCACCAGGTCCCTCCCCCAACACTGGAGACACAAATCCAAATCATATCACCTGGGTATCCTTTAATGGAGGAAGATGACACCTAAAATTAACCATCACACCTATTTAAAAAACAAAACAAAACAACTTTTAAAACATGAATTAGTTGCCAACATTTAAAGAACAGGAAATTTCATAAAGAAACAACAGCTGGAGTCAAGCTGTAACTCCAGCAGAATCAAAGCTGGAGCAAAGTCACATTCCCTGTCTAGTGGGGCTGTGTGTTCTCCCCCTCAGTATTCATTACACCCTACCTTCTCCCACTTTGTTTAGAGTCTTTGAGGCCCACATGATCTGCTGGGGTGGCAGGCCTGCCTAACTCTTACTGTTCTGCCTGATTCCTGGGGGGACACTGGGATGTCTCAATTCAGTGACTAAAATCAATTCTAGCTGTCTGATTTGGGGGTATTTTAACAAGTCATTGCTGAAACTTTGGATAGTACTCTTCTATCTTGATACCCAAAATTAAAGTACCTACAAATGCTCTGCGGACATTGTTAAGATGCAGATTCTAACCCAGTAAGTCTGGTATGGGGCCTGAGAGGCTGTATTTCCAACAAGCCTCCCCGAGATGCTGATGTACAGAACGTATTTTTCAGCAATGCCCCCTACTTGCCTCCAAATTCCCTTCCAGTAGAGTTTTGGAGATTAGAGTCAGCCATGGAGTGTTTTAAAAATATACCAACACACAGTCTGCATGCCCAGAGATATGAATTATTTAGTTTGGGGTAGGCCCAGGGATTGATTTTTTTTTTAATGTCTCAGATTATTCTAATACGCCTCCAGGATTAAGAACCACTGCACTAAGTGGCATTCATCCTCAATATCAAACTTCACCTTCTAGGCTGAATCTTAGAGCTTTACTATAAAGACATTAAAATTGTGTTGTTTTCAAGGGATGGACTGTAGCGGTTACTGGGAGAGTTTGTGTGTACAGGGGGACCCCTTGGTTACTCAGTTGAGTCCCACTTTCCCACTCCTCTAAGTGCCTTCAAGCTGCTGCTGCTCAGATTTCTGAGCCAGTTCTGTCACTTCATCTGCTCCCCTTGGCTTTGAGCCCCCAGGAACAAAACCTGGGTGCATCTCTTATACCTTGGCTCACTGGCCGAATTTCTCAACTTCAAAGTGAAAACCTTCTAATAAACTTTTCACACAAGCCTCCATGCCTATCTCCAAGGCCTCCTGAGGTCTGACACATTCTTCTGCCTACATCCCTACGATTGTCTGATAGGGCTCAATGGAGGGGCTGGAGGTCAGGAGTGACTACAAAGAGACGACATCTTGATCAAATCTTCAAGAATAAGAAGTCATTCTTTTAACCTAGTAAGGTAGAGATGGCCACTCCTACATCTTATTAGATAAAACCATTTAAAACAAGAAATTGTCTTTGCCCTTAGTTACCAGTATGGAAATGTCCCACATTTGACACATGCTTGATAAACCCCTGTAAGTTTATTAACGGAGTAGAGTTGCTTCTGTGAGATTGCTTGTTCCAACCAAGTGAAATCAGGTGTAGAAGGCAACTATCACTTACCTGCCTTTAAGTGAGACTCTCTGAACCTGCTCCCAGCCTGGGCCTGGCTGTCCATATTTCTCCTCTGCTCTCCGAATGCATTTCCTTTAGTGCACTGGGGGAAAGGTACACACATGACTGTTCTTTCTTGCCCCATCCCTTCTACACATACACATGTCTTTTCTCTTCCCTGGTTTCTAGGCTTGGGCTGTAACTCAGTATGAAGACCATTCATAAGGACATTTTGCTGAAAAATATGGTGAAAACCATTCTACATGTAACATCACTTACACCTATCCACCTCACTTCCTCCAGCATACGGGGCTTTGTTTTCCAGAAAATGCCAAGAATTTAGGACCTTGAACCTGTTGATAGGTGGTTGAGGAATGGAATCTTAGAGTCTGTAGGAAAGGAGTATACCACTCCCTGGAACACTCTGGGCTCCGGACACACCCTCTACACTTCCTCCATGCCTCAAGGCCCTTCAGAAGCTGAGAAACAGCCAGAGGCTTGATAGTTGTCCTATTTAAAGACAGGCTGGACTCTTCCCACCTCTATCTTCAGAGGAATGAAACTAGAACTTACTATTACTTAGTGCCTATAAAAAATAGGCACATGACCTTTTGGGTCTCTTAGAAATACTGCCTTTTTCCTGATGAAGAAAAGAGGGCAAGATGACTTGGCTCAGTGAGAGAGTTTGTTCTCTTCTCTGGAACTTTTATAATAATTCTCTTCCCTCATTTTGTCCAAAATCTTCCCTATCCCAGCCAGAATGTCATTATAGAATTCATAAGGCCTGTCTGCTGAGAAAAGTTTAAAAGAATGAATAAATACTCATGTAGAGAGTCCAATAAATGTTTACTAAGCATCACCACAAGCTAGGAGTGGACACTGGAGACAAAGTAGTGAAGAAGATGGCATGACCCTTGCTCTCTCCCAGCTTACAGTTTAGGGAGAACTAATCTTCATTATTTGGTATACCAGAGCCCATGCACCTGAAGTCAATACTGTATGGAGTAGAACTGGCCAACAGGCTTCAACTCGTTTACAATTACATAGATTTAACTCTTTGCTTTGCCATATTCGATTCTCCCTGCCAGTCTTTTATGCTAGGATTTACTTCTTTCTTCTTGGGATCTCAATTTTGATTCATCAATTAGTCACCCAGAGTATGTCCCCAAATAATTTTTTCAAGATGAAATACATAGGAGGTATATTTTGGAAATCTTTGTCTAGAAATGTATGTCTGTTGCCTTAACAGGTGAAAAACAGTATAATATTCTTAGTTTATACATTTTCCCTTCAAAATCTTATAAACACAGCACCATTACTTTTTCTGGCATTTACGATTGCAGAAACAAGTGGAAAGTTTGTCTGATTTTGTTCATTTGTGGTTATATTTTTCTGGCTAGATGCACGTAGATTTATTCGCTTATCCTTATAATTCAAGGGTTTTTTTTTGGGTTTTTTTTCCAGAATATTCCTTGGCTGAACCAAGGGGCCTTTTTCATCTGTGAATCCAGGACCTATTTTCTTCCTTGAAAAGTTGTCTTTTTCATCATGATTATCGCTTCTGTTCTAACTACTCTAGTTTCTACACTTAATCTTAGCCCAAAGGCTGAGAAGCAGTTAACTAACTACTCTAGGGTTTTTTGTTTGTTTTGTTTTTTTAATTCTAAAAATAAAAGAAATCTGCAGTTCTTGGTTGGCTCTCTCTATCCTTTGAATACTTTCTTACCCACCATTTCTTTACTCATTTTAACATATT